GGAAGGAAGGAAGGAAGGTAGGAAGGAAGGAAGGAAGGAAGGAAGGAGAGTTTTCTTCCACAAACACCCTGTGTTTTGTCGACTTAGACAACATTGGTTTCCCGGTCCTTCACGTTGACTAATCTTAATCCGGACCCTGGACCAGATCAGACCGGAACCCTGTCCCTGTCCAGATGAAATCCTCAACCTTAAAATAGATCTCCCCACAAGTATTTCACCAAAAACGTTAACTACGTTTAACTAGACCAGTCACACACACACATGCCCAACATGTGTGGAGACTAAATGGTAACGGCAGGTCTTGATATTCTGCCTAATGAAGACAACAGACGGACTGAGAGTCGAGTTTGGGCCAAACTTCAGACTTCTAGTGCAGTGTTACACTGAAGCGTTTCAGTGAAGCGTTTTGAACTGGGAAAATAAAAAATCCCAGGTTATGTTACTGTAGTTACTTCAGTTTGTAGTACTTCAGTTTGTAGTACTTCAGTTTGTAGTGCCATGCCTAAAGTATTCCAGGTACTCTGATGTTACTGTAAAGTCTACTCTCCTGCAGCAGTGTGTCAGTGTTGTTGGTCAGTAGCTGCTGTGACAAAGAGGTTACACACCTCTCCTTCTCCTCCTCCTCCTCCTCGTTCTCATCCTCCTCCTCCTCAGACCTTTTATTCACTCCTGGTCCAGAACAAACAGGTCGGTTGGTGAACACTTTTTTCCTCAGCTAACACTTTAGAACACTGACAGTGTGTGTGTGTGTGTGTGTGTGTGAGGAGGGAGGGTGCGTTTGTGCATGCGTGCGTTTGGTTGAAAATCAAATAAACTGTGGAGTGTGTGTTCCACACACATTTCCTGTTCTTCTCATCATTTCCAGCAGCCTCAGCCTCATCGACTCCATGACGACGACTTCATCACGAGGCTGTGATTAATGAGAGGAATAATGCACTTCCACACAGGCTTTTATTGTGAAAAGACTCTTCACATAAGACCAGGAAAGAATCTGTCATTCCTTCAAAATAAAACATCAACTCCGTCAGTCCAGACGTGATGTCACCACACCAGGGTTCTAATCAAACGCTACAGAACCAGAAACCACAGAGGTCCAGGTCTCACATCCATCCATCCATCATCTACCACTTATTCTCTTTCAGAGTCACAGGGGGCGCTGGAGGCCCAATGCCAGCTATCTACGAGTGAGGGCCAGGGCATATATATGTTTGGAAGAAATATATATATACATATATATATTTTTTTTTTTTAATGTTTTTTTCATGACTCATGATGCAGAGGAAAGGAAAGCGTGAGATGTTGGAACCAGAACTCATCCAGTATCTTCATCATTACAGTGTAGTGGTTTGCAGGTGGTGCTGTGAGGAGCTGCTCACAGCTGTGTTCTCCATCAGATCGGTTCTGTGAACACTTCCATGTTCCGCCAATTCTTGTAACTTTTTTCCTCTTCAGACGGAGCGCAGGAACAGTTCTGGGGAATCGATAGCTTAGCCTGAAGTTTTTCGAAATTAAAACAAACACAAATGTGAGGAAGTGAAGTTCACTTCACGGCGCGCTGAGGAACGTCTGGAACGTTCCCTGACAGAAGAATGCAGCAGAAATCCTGCCTCTCTGGGTCGGTGCATACACTAAACAGTCCTCGCTCTAAAACACACCCTGACTCACTGACTGCAGTTTGAAGGGAACAGGGAACTGGTTTTTTGTCTGTAACAGGAACAAGTAGATAAACAGTGCTGTCCCTGTGGAACACTGAGGTTCTGCACAGACTCAGCAGCTGTAGGGAGCTGGAAACATCTTCTAATTTCCTACGTCAGGGGGATTCGAAGTAGGACCGGGCCCGGGGTTGACCAGGATCCCAGCCAGATGGACTGTACTGGTCTCCACAGAACTTTTAATTAAAATCCTCTCCTCATACAAACACACAGGGATTAGAACGACTTTAGAACCTTCACCTTTTCACTTAAAAGAAATCCGACTCCAACAAAGTGTTTGGTGAAGAATTCATCGGTTATATAATAATAAAAACGTATCGACAGAACTTTTCTATGTCTCACTGAAGGGAGCTAACGTGGACACACTGCCAATAAGTGTGTCTCACTGAAGGGACCAGCTAACGTGGACACACTGCCAATAAGTTTTCTGCTTCGGCAAAAACTTCAAAATAACCAGCGAGTTCTTCAGTTAAATATTTTTAAGAATAAGCTTTGAAGGTGGAGTTGGAGGGTGGGGGGGGGTGTATTTGACACTGATGTCTCTAATTATATTTAGCTGATGCTTTTATCTAAAGAGAGTTACAAATGGGGGAGGTGTCATTAGGAGATCCCTCTGGGAATCAAACCCGGGACTCTCTGCTCTTTGCTTTCAGGCAGTGGCGCTAACCGCTACACTATGGAACCAATTACAGGAAGACAAATGACACTAAAGACAAATGACACCAAACCATAAAACATCAATTCAGAGAACAATGGCCGTCAAAGAGAAATACTGAACCAAAAACAAATGAAAACCTGAAGTCTCAAAAATAGCTGCACCGCAGAGGAAAGCCCTGTAGGGGGTGTTTTAGACAAAAGAATTGGCGCCTGCTCCCCCCCCCTCCCTGGACAACACAGCAGCTCTTATCCCTTGACCAGGGCTGGGGACTTCCTGTCTAAGACCCTTTAGACCTACATGTTGCTACACATCGGCGCCTCCTGTCTGCAGCGAAGGATGTTCCGACGAGTTCTGTGTTTGGAAATGTTACTGCTGAAGACCAACAAGTTCTACACGATGACAACAAGGTTTCATTCTACTGTGTTCTAGTCTGTTTTATTCTGTTCTAGCGTGTTCTACTCTGGGGCTGATCTGTTTTCTGAGAACTCACAGCTGAGTTCATGGCTCTGCCTTGTGGTTCCTGTAACAATGTTCTCAAAACTCAGCCAACGCAGCCGTGTGCAGATTCCTCAGTTGGAGATTTAAGAGATTTCCTGTTCTGTCCAACATGGGGCAAGACCATGTGCCGAGACCATGGGCCGAGACCATGTGCCGAGACCATGGGCCGAGACTCTGGGCTGAGACCATGTACTGCGACCATAGGCCGAGACCCAGTTTGTCGGCGTGAGAGGCCAACACTGCAGCACTCAGATTATCACTGATGTTTGATCTCAGCTCTTCTTCTCCGCAGACCTGAAGTGGTTCTAACTGAGCCACAAAGGACCAGTTAGGTGAGTATCAAGTCTTGGTCCACACAGGACTCAAACCTGGTCCACGGACTAATGAGAAGACCTGAACAAACAGCACTTGGGTTCAACAGAAAGTCTGACTGTTCTTAAAGTAAAAACAAACAGTCCTCCACAAAGGGGGGGAGTGGAGTGAAGGGGTGGGGGTGGGGGGGCAACATGATGAAGGTAAAGAAGGAGTCCTGGTCCAGCTCTGTGACATCATACTGTCCACGGCTTCTATCCAGACCAAACAGGGTTGTGTCTGCTTTTCATTTTCTCCCCCTCTCCCTTCTTCCCTCCCTCCCTTTCACCATAGCCTCTTCTCTCCCCTCTCATTTTTCTTTCTTTTTTTCCTGCCTTGGAGAAAGTGGGAGGAGGAGAAGGAGGACAGAAGTGGCAGATCTCCAGGAGTTTGGAAGTTTGTCCCATCCCAGATTTGAACTCTGCACCACAGCTCCTCTGGTTTTAGACTGCGAGGTTGTCTGTCCCGTTCTGCCTTCACTGTTCCCTCCTTGTGCAGGAGCCCCTTGTCCTTTGACCCCCTCCCCATCAGAGCCCCCTCCGACCTCCTGTGTTCCACTCGGATGATAATGACCAGAACTCCAGCTTCCAGTGATTTTGTATAAATTGTTTCCTCCTGAAAAATCAAACCCATTGGAACACAGCATTTTCAGGTAAGGACGGCTCTGAAGTTTTGGAATCTTGGAAAACGACGTGCATGTTTTTCCGTCTTCACTCAGTTTCTAGTCGTAACATGCAGTTTGAGCTGGTGGCGGCTGTGACGACCACAGCTGTGCACAGAGTGTTTGGATTCTCACTCATGAATATCAGGCAGCATGCATTTAGCCGTACGACCAAGCCTGTGTTTTAGTGGTGACAGAGAGAGAGAGAGAGAGAGCGGTGAGGGCAGGAGGTGAGCGTCAGTCAGACGCTCTGATGGATTCAACACTGAATGCTTTTTTCTGCATGCTTGAAATGTTGAAATGTTGTAGGACAGGGGTCAGAGGTCAGATGTCAGTGATCAGGGAGACTTTACTTTCAGCCAGTGTGGTTTTTTTTCACTTTTCAAATCAAATCGATTTCATGGAACTTCACTCATTCAAATGATGAATCCAAATGGAGTCATCTGATTGGTAGATATTTCCACTGCAGCCGTGGCCCGAAACCACACCCTGAACAATGACCGCGGGAAAAGAAAGAAAAGAATAAAGTCTTTTTTTCCACAGCGCTGGCCAGGAGAAGTGTCGGGGATTTGTTGGCTGTGGTGCTGGGCTGCAGGTTTTAGTGGACCAGGTGTAAGCCATTAATCTTATCCTTTTACCCATGAGGCTACTGCACATGCACAGAGGAATCTGGCGTGCGTCCGTGTGTGTGCACGTGAGGACGCCGTGCAGAAATGAACTTCTCCTCTGATTATCCTCAGAATTATCGTCAACGTCTCGTAAACTTTTCTTACGAGCTGCAGCTCCCACATACGTTTGTTTGCACATAACCAGTTGCTACGGCAACGCAGGCAAGAGTTTGGACACGGTCCATTGTGTGTGCCAGGTTTGGTTTTATGTGGATTTTTTTTTTATTGTTATTCATTTATAACTGGTACAAAGACGAGGTTTCCCTGTGAAGCGGAGGAGTTTCAGGCTGGAGTGAAGTGTTTCGGAACATTCACAATCCATCTTGGTTTGTTTATGTTTTACGGCCAGTCCACTGGCTGCTGCAGCTTTTCATCCTGATGCAGAGCAGACGTGCAGAATGCTGCAGGAGTTTTTTCTTTTTTTTTTGATGAGAAACACAGTTCACTGGACATGAACATGATTTAAACGTCTAGATAGAACAGAGTCGAGCGTAGAGCGTGTGTTTTCACTGAAACACTTGAACTTGCTATCTGATCACCGTCACTGTTTACGGCTGTTCCAAATTATGTCACCCAGACCAGGACGGCACGGCTGTTAGAGAGTTAACATTAGACAGAAAATTATCCCATTCAACCCCCCACCAAATACACACACACACACACGCACACGCCAGCCACATCCTGCTCTGGACATTACAGCTGATCGTCTCTTATCGGTACCACATGTGACACAGCCCATCCTTCCAGCTGAAGTAAATGATTCATGTGCCAGAGGTTGACCACAGTCACAGCAGCATGTGTGTCGTCCGGGGCAACAAACCCATGTATGAAATCAGGGCAGTTACCATGTTTGTCCACTTTGAGGCAGACGAGCTCCAGTTTCTCTGCGTGTGCTCTTCAAGCTGAAAAATGTGTATGAATGTGCCAGTAGTTGTTCTTTCCTGGTGGAGTTTGTTTGTGGTGAGAGAAAATAGTCCTAACTGTGATGAAGAAAATCATTTGAACTTAATCGACTTGCAAGTAAATGCTGCTGCGTAAATAAATGTAGTATTTGAAATGAGTTATTGAGATTGGACCACCAGGGGTCCCTGGACTCCACACTGAAAAGCACAGCTCTGGAGGAGTAGCTGCAGTGTGTGTAATTACAAGAACCACTTCTACAAACTGGAAAGTTCTGTTTGAGGGAAAATGAGTCACAACTATAATGAAGTGAACGGTTAAAAAAAAAACAGTAGAGGAGAAAGAATCAGGTTTTTGTTCTTCACCAGCACAGACGTTAAATTTAAAGGCAGGACTTTGGCCCAGAGCAGCTGAAGGTTCACTGTGTTCGTGTACAGTTAGTGTGTGGTCTGCTCTGTCAACGTGAGGACTGGGGGCGTAACAATGTACCCTGAATTAGGTAAACATTTATACGAACGGGGGCGTGGTGGTGGTGGGCGATGGAGGAGGGGAGTAATCCCTGAAATCAAATTAAATCTAATTAAATCATTTGAACTCTCAGTACTAATTATAACAGAAGCTCAAGATTGGAGAACCTCTGTCAGTGTGAACGCTGGAACCGTGTTCAGTTGAGGTGACTGTCGGAGAAATGCATTTTAATTTGAAGAGTTTTTTTCTGTTTATTGATGCAATTCTCTGTCGTACAAACATCTGGACAAACTGCTGCCTCCGCATGTTTCCAGCTAGCCTTGGTACAAACTACAGCTCGGCCTGAATTCAACTATTTTGTTATCAGTTCACTTTTAAACAAACTTGCTCTCTTACCCGTGTCTCCCTGTCACCCCTCTGTGGCCATGCGGACCCTGACTGTCGTGTTTGTTTTTTGGTGTTTTGTTTTTTGACCTCGGCCCTGACTCATACGTTGGTTTTGGTTATTTGACCTCTGTGTTTTAAAATATCAAATGTTTCACATTAGCACAAATGTAACGCAAAGTGAGGACAGAAATGTTTGGCGATGTGGACATTTGATGAAATTGTGTTGAATTCACAGGTGTCCTCTTCATTTGAAGATGAGGACTAAACTGATGTTGCCCCTCGTTGCCCTTCTGGGTATCCTGTGTACAGGACTTGTCCCAAAACTTGATGCTCAGGAAGGTAAGTACACACATCAAAGTGTATCTACGTTGCTCAGAGTTGGGGTTTTTTTAAATGTTTTTTTAGGGTTGTCCAATAATAACATTGTGCCGATATTAGCATACTTAAGTAATATCTGTAAGAATCATTATCGGTTTTTCCTCCGATATTGAAAACGCTATGCCTGGGTATCACCAAATGGTGTGTGCCCTGAAAAAAGTTTTTGGGAAAAATCACTGTATGTGAAAGTGAAACCCACTAGATGGCAGCATTGCAGCTCATTTAATTAATCTGGTGCTAGTAACTCGCACAGTGGTTTGTACAAATAAATAAATAAGTATTACTAGGTCCCTAATAGTATTTTAATTTGGGGGGGGTGTGAAAAAACTTCTGTCCTCTGGGGGGAGCATGGCAGGAAATAATTGAGAAACACTGGTTTAACCCATCAAAACTAAGTTAGCATGCGGCATTTACCTTCCTTAACCAGTAGGCCACCATTGCCTCGCTATATTGGTATAGATTTATCTATATCTATAATCTATAGAATCTATAGAATCAGAAATTAAGTGTTTGGACAATATTGGATATCGGCAAAAAGTTAATATCGGACATCCCTAGTTTTTTTTTTCACTCCCTGTATTTTAATTAAAGCATTATGTTTTGAACTAAATTCTACTTTGAACTACACTTGTATATATTGCATAAACTCGGATTAGAATACAGCCAAGTCTAATCCAAGGACAGTTCCAGGCTCTAACATCAAAAGTGATGATAAAATGATTCATGTTGTATTTTGTTGAAAATGTCGGTGCCAACCATCGTTATCATTTGTCTTCACTTCTGTCCTCCAAATACTTTGGTCTGAAGACTGTGCAGAAGGGTTGCCCGCTGATATATACTTTCTAGTGGATTCATCCTGGAGTATCGGAGAGGAGAACTATGAGCATGTCCGACACTTTTTGTACGGCCTGATAGAGGCGCTGCACAGGGTCGGTGGGAACGGGTTTAAATTTGCTCTTGTGCAGTACAATACCAGACCACAGACTGAGTTCCAACTCGACAGCTACTCAAGCACTCAGAGCATCCTGGGACACATCAAATCCATGTCCTATCATGGTGGGGGCACACGCACAGGCCTGGGCCTGGACTTCCTGATACGTACACACATGAACACTGCTGCGGGCAGCCGTGCTGCTGAAGGAGTGACGCAGGTGGTGGTGGTGCTAACAGACGGGCGATCTCAAGATGACGTGTCGGAGCCAGCTCTGGTGCTACACTTAGCGGGTGTCAAGGTGTTTGCAGTCGGAGTAAAGGATGCGGTGGAGTCAGAGCTCAGGGAGATGTCTAGTCAGCCCCACGACATTCACGTGATCAGTGTAGACTCTTTTCTCAACTTGCGGAACGTAATCCAAGATTTAGTCGTGCGGCTTTGCAGGGCAGTGACCCGGCCATGGGGGGCTGCTGTGGCAAATGAGGCCCCTGTGGCTGGAGGAGGGACAGGTAATAAAATGGGACCAGTGACACTCCTTTACTAATGATGTCCACATGTGCAGTGAGATGATGCAGTCCATGTGGTCATGTCTCAAATCCATCATTAACACGATCCAGAACTTTAACCTCAATAACCTCTCACTGTCTCCCTGCCAACTTAACATCACCTGTGTCGTCCTACTACTAGAGAGAGCCACAGGATTTGCATGTGATGACCACACCCACTGCATTTTGGGGGCGGGGTGTTAAGTTTGATCATGGTTTTGTATATGTTTCAATACAAAAACAAACAAACACAGCCATTATGATTTATCACCAAAATGGTGGAAATGTTTCCATTCACAGACACCGAGGTCACAGACCCTAACAGTCAATGACCAAACCTTTCCAACAAACCGGGGGTTTGGATATAAGATCAAGGAGCTTTTAACAACAGCTAACCTTCGCACCACTGCTTTCTTGTCTTGCATAAATATATATACTGTATATGTTTTTCAGTCACAATGTCTGTGTAAAATATGTGCAGTACTGTATTTGTCAAACAGTGATGAACCTGGATGCACTCATTCTTGTCATGTTTGCAGATGCACTTCTTTGAGAATGTCCAGACATTTACAAGTACAGAAAAATATTGAAGTATAATTCATCTGAATACATTCTCAAGAACTGCAAAGTGTAAGCATCAAGGATGTGCCGCCAATCATAACTGGTCATGTTATCTGAGGTCCTTAACAAGAATCTGCATGGTGACGGCTGAACTTCCAGGAGCTAATATCAGTACTTTGTACGACTGGAGAAAAGAATTTATGAATTGTTAAGTTTTCTGTTTATTAACATACAACATTTTTTCTTAAAAACATTAAAATAATTATAATTATAATTAACCCTAATTATTGTAAAAAAAAATCCTTATTTTCTGTTGTTGAAACTATCATAAATCCACATCTCAACGAATAACATCTTTTAATCAGCTACAGCAGTGGCAACTTTAAGGACTCAAGCAATCTTTCAGTGAACTTGACTAAATTATTCACCAATCTGTGCATTAAAAAAAAACTGCCGAAATGTCAGAGGTCACTGCTGTCATTCTCCTGGTTTCAGCCGACATGCAGAATGATGTGTTTTCACTGTTAGTGATCAGTTCACTCTGAACGTCACTTGCAATGACACGCTGGCCCGTGTCATTTGTCTCTGTCTCAAAGTGTTAACCCTTTCACAAGTTCCATTTTGTTTTGTTCTCTCTCTCTCCTTTAAGCACAAGATTCAGCTGACCTAATTATCTTAATTGATGGATCACAGAACGTTGGAGCAGCAGACTTCCCAGACGTGCGTGATTTTGTTTTGAGAATCATTGAGGGACTTGATATAGGAAGGGACACTGTTCGGGTGGCCTTGGCCCTGTACAACTCCTACCCAGAGATCAAGTTCTATCTGAATAGCTATGACAGCAAGTCATCAGTTCTGGACGCTGTGAAGGGCCTCACCTACTCAGGGGGCGATGACTCTAACCTGGGGGCTGCATTGGAAGAAGTGGCTCAAAGTCTATTGAGCCAATCAGCTGGGGGCAGGGCAGATGAGGGTGTGCCCCAGATGCTACTGGTTATCAGTGCTGGGCCATCCTCTGATGATACTGGTGCTGGTGATCGGGCCCTTAAGAGGGCTGGAGTTATCACATTCGGCATGGCCATTGGTAACACTGCCAGTGCCGACCTTGAAATGGTTGCTTCAGACAAGAGTTTTGTCCAGGTAGCCCCCGATTTCAGAGCAGTGTCCAACATGGGTGATCAGCTACTACCGTACCTTAACGGCGTGGTCCAGCGCACCATTGTTGTTCAGACCGAGTTCACGGAAGGTATGTATCACAGTACATGAGGATGCAGTATAGTTTAACCATTAGGGATGATAATTAATATCATCTTGGGTTCAAGGTAAGATATTTGACTTATTTTAAAAAACGCTGTTCTCTAAAGGGTATTCCATGAAACTAGGGATGTCCAATAATATCGGCCCTGCGATAATATCAACAGACCGATATTGTCGGAGCGATATAAGTTTAATTACATAACATCTGTAAGTATCGTTATCCGTTTTTCCTCTAATAATGAAAACCTGATAACACAATGCCTTGGTCTCACAAAATTATGCATTTTAATAATTAGGGCTTTGTATGCAGAATGCTGGTGCCAGCAACTCATACAGCGGTTTGTAGAGACAAATAAATAAATATTATCAGGTGCTAAATAGTATTTTAATTCTGGGCGGTAATAGGTTGGTATCGGAATCGGAAAGTGTTATATCGGCATATTGGATATCAGCAAAAAGTTAATATTGGACATCCCAATACATTTCCAGTGTGTTCAATCTGAAGTTAATGCACTGTGAGAACGTGTTGACTACATGTGGTGACCTAAACTACTACTCAACTTATTCCTTGCCATTTTTAAGCCTTAGATTTTTTTAATTTGAAGATTTTTTTTATTAGTGCTCCATTTCTGTGATTAAAAAAGTCTGAATGTTTTCACATAAAAACTCATAGAATGATTTTAGCTCAAGATGCAACGGTCACTTCACTGTTGTAGATTAAAAATAGATTTTAGAGTATTATTAAGATTAAAATATTAGTAAAATGTTTATACTCATGATCACTTTGATAATATTTACTACAAATATACTTAAAATGCCTTATTTAAGTATTATTAGTTATATTTATAAAAAATGATAAATCCAATACAAAATTAAAAATATAATAATTTCTATATATACACTATAGGTAATAAATAAATAATACATTAATCACATATATAGTGATTATATAATTAATATATAAATATATATACATATTAAAGATAATAAATATTAAATGCTTTTAAATAAATTTGCCTTTTCTTTCTTTTCAGTCTTGGCAGTTGGTCGACGGGACATCATTTTCCTCATCGACAGTACTATGGGATCAATACTCGTTAACACTGCTCGTGAATTCATCAAACGGTTTGTCGAGACTATGCCCATTGGTCCAAATCAGGTGCAAGTTGGTGTGGCCCAGTTTAGTGATACCCCCAAAATTGAGATGGAACTGAACTCCCATGGATCCCGGGATTCCTTGGTTGCTGCACTTGGCCAGATCAAACCAAAACCTGGTCAATATGTCAATATTGGCACAGCCTTGGACTTTGTTCGGGTGAATATGCTCCGAACTGAGAAGGGCAGTCGTATTCATCAGGGCATACCACAGATCGTACTGCTGTTGACCGGTAAAAAGTCGAATGACAGAGTGGAACAACCTGCTAGAGCCCTACACAGAATGGGTGTGCTAACTATGGCTGTTGGCGTCAAGGCTGCTGATGGGGAGGAGCTAAGACAGATTGCCTTCTCTGAAAATGTGGCCTTTTTGCCGAGAGACTTGCGCTTAATACTCCGCAACCCACTACAACGGCAAATGGTTGATGCACTGTCCACACTAGCCGGGACTGTGGTTACGGAGACGCCCACCGCACCAGGTAATGATATGAACATTTTGAGTCAAGAATCCCATCAAAAATGGAACTGTTGCATGAACGCCTGTTACAAACGAGTTAAAGACTATTATTCAACATGAACTAATTTGTTTGCCCTAATTTTCTGTCGCCTTTTGTGCTTTTCCGCAGACGTGGAGATTACCACAGTGGAGACCCAGAAAGTGGTCAGAGACTTTGTCTTTCTTGTTGACGGCTCAAACTACATCGGCAGCACCAACTGGCCCTATGTGAGAGACTACATGATCAACTTGGTAAACCAACTAGATGTGCGACCTGAGAGGGCTCAAATTGGTCTTGTACAGTTCGCTCAAGACCCAAAAATTGAATTCTACCTGAATAGATATAATAACCGACAAGATGTGGTGAATAAAATCTCCCAACTGAGACTAACTGGAGGCTCAGTTCTGAACACAGGAGCCGCCATGAGACACGCCCTCAGCAAAATGTTTGTATCGTCAGCTGGGTCACGTAGGAGGCAGGGAGTCCCGCAGGTGTTGGTGCTGATCACTGGTGGTCCATCCCAGGATGAGATTAAAACCATAGCTGATCAGTTGGCTCTGGCTGGAGTTTTGACCTTCACAGTAAGCTCCGGACAAGCAGAAGAATCCCTCCTGAAAACAGTTGCCTTTGTTCCAGATTTGGCCTATCATGACAGCAGCTTCTCAAACATACCTGCAATGGCCGAACTGATGATGCCCCAGTTGATAACCGTAGTTGGGGATGTAGATACGATAAATGTTGAAGAACCTGAAGTAAGCGGTAAGTGGTATGTTGTAAATGTGGTAAAAGCTGTAGTAAAACATTGAAAGTACGTTGATATTACTATTATCAATGTCTGATTTCATCGGCCTGATATTAGCATAATTATTGCATAATAATTTATTATTATATAATAATGTAATATCTAGAAGAATCGTTATCAGTTTTTCCCGATATCGGACATCCCTAATTACTATGTTATAATACCTAATAATACTTTTGTTTTCCTCCAGTTGGAACAGAGAGGGATGTTGCTTTCCTCATTGATGGTACTGACAACGTTAGAGCTGATTTTGCCTACATCCAGGATTTTATAATTAAAGTCATTGAACCACTTGACATTGGAATTGACAGAGTGCGTGTCTCAGTGGTTCAACACAGTGAAACTCCATTTCCCAGTTTCTACCTGAACACTTACCAAACCAAAGATGAAGTGATCACAGCTGTCAACTCAATGAAACCTACTGGTGGAAGGAGTCTCAACACAGGATCTGCACTGAGGTTTATGAAAGACACCATCTTGTCGCCCCAATATGGCAGCAGGGCAGCACAAAATGTCCCTCAGTTTCTGATTGTTTTGACTGGAGGCCGGTCTAGGGACAGCGTAAAGGAACCAGCTGGTGCACTGAAGACAGAGGGAGTTGTACCATTTGGTGTTGGTGTGAGGGATGCTGACCCAAAGCAGATTCGAGCCATTTCACACAACCCCTCCTTTGCCTTTAATGTGAGAGAATTCAGTGAGCTTAGCACTGTGCCACAAAGGCTCAATAACTACGTAAGTCTACCAACGGATGAACTCAACACTATCCTTCAGCAAGGTAAGACACATCTTATCTTAACTATTTTAACTCCTGTCCTGCTATTTGAAAGGTTTCTTAGGATGACAGATATTTCTTATCTATACCTCAGAACAACGTTATAATGTTAAGAGAGATTTGGCTGGATGGCTCTGATAACACGAGAGACGGATTTGCGGAGATACAACTCTTTGTTAAGCAAATAGTTGAGAGCCTCTCTGTTTATGATGGTAGCGACAGAGTATCTGTGGTTCAGTTTGCTGACATTCCTAAAGTCAGCTTCTATCTAAACTCTCACACGACAAAACATGAAATTATGAATGCCATTGAAAACATAAAGCACAAGGGAGGCAAACACCTAAACACTGGGGAAGCTTTGCAATACGTAAGGCACAGTGTCTTCAGTCCCTCCACTGGGAGTAGAAGTCTAGAAGGAGCTCTGCAGATATTAATATCTTTAGTTAGCAAACCATCGACCGATAATGTTAAGAGCTCGGCTTCTGCCCTGAAGTTGCTGATTTCTCCATGTTGCCAACAATCCATAACCATCTCGTTGCTACACTGAGCACAAACAAAGTCACTGAAGAAACAGTGACAGAAATCCCTAATTTAGTCAGTAAGAGCTGCACATTTGTATATTTTACTTGAAAATATGGAGCAATTATTTTTAACGTTCTATTCTCTACTGTCCATCTAACAATCCATTTGTTTACACTAACCTTTAGGTCAGAGGCAAAATAGTTACAGATAGGGATGTCTGATATTATCGGCCGATATAAGCATAATTATGTAATATCCGTAAGACTCTTTAACGGTCACTAGATGTCAGCATTGCAGCTCATTTTAATAATCAGGAGATTGTATGAGGGTGAAATCTTCTGTACCGTTAATATCGGACATCCCTAGTCTCAGAAGAGTTTTTGTTGAATACATTACTTTTAGGTTAAAGTCATTTGTCTTTTTTTGTTTTGCTTTTCTCCACCTTTTGTCTTCTTTCCTGCTTGTGCTGATTATGTATTACTATAGAAATCTTAATGAGTAGTTCAATTCCCTTTCTGTTCATAAATGTCACCTTGTTGATGCAGACAGCAAAAAGAGGGACATAGTGTTTCTTCTTGATGGGTCAGATGACTCAAGAAATGGACTTCCTGCTATTCGAGAGTTCATCAGACGAATGGCACAAGAGCTAGTAACTGATGAGGACACAGTTCGTGTGGCAGTTGTGCTGTACAGTGATGACACCACAATTTATTTTGACCTAAATACTCACAGATCTAAAGAGGCACTAATTTATGCAGTAAGAAATCTCCGCCATAAAGGAGGAGGAAGTCGAAACACGGGGGCAGCCCTTCAGTTCGTGAGAGATCGTGTTTTTACAGATACCTCTGGGGGTCGACAACAGGAGGGTGTCCCCCAGATACTAGTTTTATTGACTGGAGGCAAATCCAATGATGATGTTGCTAAAGCAGCATTTGCCCTAAAACAAATTGGTGTTCTTTCTTTTGCTATTGGTATGAAAGATACTGAACCGGAGGAGCTTATAAAAATTGCACACTCTTACAAATTCCTTTTCTCTTTGCCTGTCTTCGGTGAACTTTTATCCATTCAGCCAGAAATAGCTGCATATGTCCAGTCGAAATTGCAATTTGGCCCTCCCTCTAACATAGGTAAGACGTTTTTAAATGAAGACTGTTGATCGGTAGCATCTTCCTCTTTTAAACAATCAGTTTCATGTGCTCTTATGAAACTGCTTTTTACTGAAGAATGTTTTCATTTTCATGTTCTTCGGAAGGTTTCACCACGGTACCTGGTTCTGAGGTTTCCTCTGGGTTCTCTTTCAATTCTCTTTTCCCAATGAAAAGCATTTGCGACAGCTCTACACCAAATGCCACATCTTTCTTCAATTTTCCTATTTTTTTATTTCTTTGATGTGCCAATGATAGCATCACTGGCTGAATATTCAAAATTAAAAAATATTTAACTCTTCTGTCTATTCTGTCTACCACTAACTTGGTCAATGACCTGATGCTTTAAAGGTTTTCTTGGCTTAGCATTTAAATCTTATAAAAACATTCTGTATTTCCCCACATTAAGATTGAATATAAAATGGTGTTAATGGGGTGACTATGTCAATGTCTACCCAACAGTATAATAAAACAAAGTTTCTATCTTTTCTCTAGTTGAGTTAGAGTCCCCTCAAAGAGACATTGTGTTTCTAATGGACGGGTCTGACAACACCCGGGATGACTTTCATGCAATGAAAGATTTTGTCCAAAAAATGATGGAAGCACTCACTCTGGGTGAAAACAAAGACCGCGTTTCTGTGGTTCAGTACAGCAAGGAACCACAGACGCATTTTAACTTTAACACCCACAACAAAAAGCAAGATATCCTGAGCGCTCTCCAAGAGTTGGAGCATAAAGGGGGCAGGCCCCTAAACACCGGAGCTGCCCTGGACCACGTCAGAGTAAATACCTTTGCTGAAGCATCAGGGAGTCGGCATCAGGAAGGTGTTCCTCAGATACTGATCCTTCTAAGTGGTGGAAGATCTGCAGATGATGTTGCAAATGCAGCCGCATCACTAAAGCAGAAAAATGTTGTGGCGTTCTGTGTCGGTATCAGAAATGCAGATATACTCGAACTTCAAATGATCGCCCACAATCCTTCCTATGCTCTTACTGTTGATGGATTTGATAATACTTGGGGCGTCCATCAACAATTAATGTCTTTTGTGAAAAGAGTGCCTCGTCAGCAGCCAAGACTAAACCCACCGAAAACATTAGGTAAGACAACCCACCCCCCATCTATCCATCACTCTATCCACCTTTAACATCTTCCTCTCGCTGAACTGAAAAGCTCTCTTTCTGCGCAAGGTTCTGAAGATCACACAGGATCTGTCCAACGCGATATTGTGTTTTTGCTGGATTCCTCTGATGAAATGCAAAATGAATTTTGGAAAATGCTCAGCTTTGTTAGGAGAGCGGTGGAAAAACTCAATGTGGATGAGAAACATGACCAGGTTTCATTGGTGCAGTACAGTCGAAACGCTTCAGCTGTGTTTTTACTGAACACATACCAAACAAAACAGGACATTCTAAACACAATGCAACATCTCAGGCACAAAGGAGGCAGACCCCTTAATACTGGTGCCGCCCTGCAGTTTGTAAAAAGCACTGTTTTTTCTGCTTCTGCTGGAAGTAGACATCAAGAGGGCATTCCACAGATTTTGGTTGTCATAACTGGTGGACAATCCAATGATGATGTCCGATTTGCAGCAAAAACCTTGACAGAACTTGGTGTCACAATTTTTGTCATTGGAACAAGAAATGCTAATATCTTTGAGATCCAGAACATTTCACAGGAATCAAGTCGTGCTTTCTTTGCAGCAGACTCAAGTGATTTTTCAAAATTTGAACAACAAATACTGTCTGCTTCAAAAAATTCTGAATACCATGCTTTCAAACCAACAACACATGGTAAGACTTGTTAATATTGGACATCCCTACCTAAATTATTCATCATTGCTAAACTTTGACTCACTATCCCGGATGTGTTTTGTTCGTCTTTGTGGTTACAGATTACAGCAGAAGAGATATTGTATTTTTGATTGACGGCTCTGATGATTCTAAGAAAAGATTCCCCGATATAAAAGACTTTGTACAAAGAATAGCCGCAGAATTAAATATAGCTTCAAACAAGGATCGTGTGGCCGTTGTTCAGTACAGTCACACAGCAGAGACTACGTTCAACTTTAAACAGTACTCAACAGAGACTGATGTTCTTAATGCAGTAAGAAACCTGAGTCACAAAGGTGGGCACCCTCACAACATTGGAGCAGCTCTCCAGTATTTGAAAGACCATGTGTTTACTGCTGAATCAGGGAGTAGACTCTTCGAAGGAGTTCCACAAATACTCATAATGCTAAATGGTGAAAGATCTGAAGATGACATAAGAACTCCAGTAAAAATCCTGAATGAAATGGGTGTTGTCTCAATCGCCATTGGAACAGTTCATGCAGACACTCTAGAGCTCCAGACAATAGCTCATAAACCCAGTTATGCACTTTCAATCACGGATTATGACGAGCTTCCTTCTACAACGAGTGATGTTCTATCACTGTTGAGGGAGGCTTCTCAGGAAGAAACGAGAAATGCTCCCACTAAAGATTTAGGTAAGACCTTTTGCTCAGTGCTCATTTGCCTGTTCCACTGGTGTTGTACCCATCTTTTTTATTTGTGTTGCAGATTCTAAGAAAAATGACATAGTGTTTCTTGTTGATGGATCATCTGATTCACATAACGGCTTTGAAGGGATACGTCATTTTATGGAAAAATTCGTAGAAGGTCTGAATCTTGGTGAAAACAGAGACCAAGTAGCTGTTGTTCAATATAGTCGTGATGCCACAGTGAACTTCTACCTAAATTCCTATTCATCCAAGGATGATGTTCTGGTTTCTATTAAAACAATGAGTCATAAGTTCGGAAGACCACTAAATACTGGCAAAGCCCTGGCCTTTGTCAGAGACAACGTCTTTTCTCCAACGGTCGGAGGCAGACGTAAGGACCTGGTCCCCCAGTACCTTTACGTTTTTAGTGGCGGACGTTCGGAGGATGATGTCAGAGAAGTAGGCCAGTCACTCAAAGATAATGGAATAGTGACTTTTACTATTGGCACAAAGAATTCTGATACTCTGGAAATGCAAACCATTTCTCTCATACCTGCATATTATTTTCATGTCAAAGATTTTAATAATCTCCAAAGTATTCATCCATCTTTGGAAGCCACATTGAAGGGTTCTCAAGAAACAAGAGAGACCCCAAGTGTTATTGGTAAGAACAGGAATAATTCTCAGTTTGTCTTTACCTTGTCAATAGCTCGCAAATAGAAAATATAATTTAAATATCCCTCAATGTATATGTCTTTGTCTATTTCAGACACTGAAACATTTTCAAATGTAGAGCTTCAAAAGGCTGATATTGTTTTTCTCATGGATGCATCTGATCAAAGTCAAGCGAATGGCAGACTAGTTTTGGACTTCATAAAAGAGTTTGTCAAGCGAATAGAAATCGGTACAAGCAACGTACAAGTCGCTTTGATTCAGTACAGCACAGAGCCAGAGCCTGAATTTCTTCTGAACACATACTCACTTAAAGATCCCATTATGAGTCATATAAGCAATGTGAATCTGAAAGGTGACTTTGTACTGAACACTGGTCTGGCCCTCCAGTATGTGAAAAACAATGTTCTGGTTGCATCATCTGGGAGCAGAGCACTCCAAGGAGTCCCACAAATAGTAATTCTTTTTAGTGGAAGACAGTCAGATGATGATGTCTTAAGTCCAGTCGAAGAACTGACAAATTCTGGAATCTCCCTTTTTAAAGTTGGGGTTAATAAAAGTGATGGAGTAGAAACAGGAGAGGAGTATATCATGAAGGACAAGTCCGACTTTCCTTTATTAAAAACAAATTTAATCTCTGCCATCACGTCTCACAGAGGACCAATAAGCCCGGGTGTTGGTGAGTGAAAACAAGTTCTGCATGTGGTTGGATTAATCTTAATTATGAATCCATTGATCTCAAACACAAACATTTGTGATTTTTCCAGGTACAAAACCAAGGATTAAAAATGATATTGTGTTTCTCATTGATGGATCTGATGATGTTAGAAGTAAATTCCCTGCAATGCGTGATTTCATTGCAACTCTTGTTGACAACTTTGAACTTGACCAAGGGGAAGATAAAGTTGCTGTTGTACAGTACAGCAATGATGCTGAAGTCAGTTTTAATCTGGATACTTACAACACAAGAGATGACATTATTAAACATATCAAAATGTTGAGACCAAAAGGTGGAAGACCACAGTATATCGGAGCAGCACTACAGTTTGTGAAGGATAATGTCTTTGTCTCAAAAGCTAAAGATCAACATCATCACCGAAAACAGATACTTGTCGTAATGACTGGTGGAAGATCTAGAGACTCCCCGAGAGGCCCAGCAAGCATGCTTAAGGCAGCTGGGGTTGTTGCCTTTGCAATTGGATCAAAAATGTCAAATTTATCTGAAATGAATATCATTTCATCGGACAAAAGTTACTCATATATTGTGTCTGACTTTGACAACCTGCCTCTTATTCAACAGCTTTTATTAAACTATATGACTCACGTTGGAGTCAAGGAGGAAACTAAGTTAGGTAAGCATGTCAATTTATTATTATAAACTACACACGAGACGTAACAGTATCTATAAGGATGTGTGATAGAATATTCTGCTAAATGTATGTTCCCTAATAGAGAGACAACCCGTGGGGAGAGATGTTGTTTTCTTGATGGATGGATCTGATGGTAGTAGCAATGGATTCCCTGCTATGCAAGACTTTGTCCAAAGATTAGTAGAGACACTCAGTGTGGATGACAAGAAAGATCGTGTCTCAGTGGTTCAATACAGCCATGATCCAGCTGTACAGTTCTATCTGAACACGTACACAACAAAAAGTGACATTCTTGATGCTGTCAAAAATATGAGACCCAAAGGTGGAAGAGCCCTCAACACTGGAGCAGCCCTCCAGTACTTGAGAGATAACGTCTTTACTGGGTCTGCGGGGAGTAGGAACTTGGCAGGAGTCCCACAGTTGCTAATAGTGCTAAGCGGTGGAAGATCTTCTGACAGCATTGATAGGCCAGCCTCTGCTCTCAAACAGATGGGTGTCCTGATATTTGCAATTGGAAACAGGAACACAGATAGCGGAGAACTGCAGACAATGGCCCATGATCCCAGCTATGCCTTCTCTGTGTCTGAGTTCAATGACCTTCCCAGTGTCCACCAGCAACTTCAGTCCTCTGTGAAGACTGCAGTTGTTAAAGTCACACCTGAATCACCGACTGTGCATGGTACGTTTACAAGGCTAGGTTTTTCTTACAACTCGTAGGGCTTGATTGCAGCGAAATGCAGACCAAT